ACAAGTCATCCTGGACAGAGGGGCTTTTCAGGGGGCAGACAGAAGCTCCTTTGACTCCTGCTTGGCTGCTGCTGCTACAGTGCAATGTRTGCAGTCTTGTCTGTGGCCAGGGCACTCCCTAGGGGCTTCTGGGTGGGGATATCACGTTCCTGTGCATGAAGGGAGTTAGGGCTGGGCCCTGCCGTGACCCCCATGGGGAGCCAGCTCTGTGTGGACATAGCAGGCACGTCCTGTGCTGGCATCAGGGTCAGCATTGTGGGTGGAGCGGACGCACACCAGCAGTAGGATGGGGATGACTCTGCCCATCTCATCCCTGGCCGTGCCATGCAGGGGCTAGTTGGCCTGCAGTGTGTGAATAAATGGCCTGTTCAGGGTTGGCATGGAGTGGTGGCTTTGGGGGCAGCACAGTTTTCCTCGTGCCTAAGAGCTGGGGCACCCCTTCTGCTGCCCGCACCTGTCTGGGAACGGCATGGAGGCGATATTGCTCTGACCTACTGCAGGTTTGATTCCCAGCCTAGCTGCTCTGGTGCCCAGTTTCCAGGACAGCTGCAGAGCCCCAACGGCAAGGAATGGGTGGGGACTGTGTCATGTCCCCCTGGTCTGGGTCTGGCTTCACTCATTTCTACCTGTCCTCGGTAGGGACATCGGGAAGCGTCTCGAGGTACGGCGGAAAGTGGATGCCTGCCTGGGGAAAGCCAACTACATCAGCCGGCTGGAGCACGCACAGGCCAGGCTGACACTGTCCTACAACCGACGGGGGGACCTGGCCATCCACCTGGTCAGCCCCATGGGCACCCGCTCCACCCTCCTGGCTGCCAGGTGGGTGCTGGGCTGTGGGGTGCCCCAGGCTGGCTTCTGGCCCGGGCAGGCACGGGTAAGTTTGGGATATGTTGGCACCCACATCCTGCCTCTCTTGCTCAGGCCCCATGACTTCTCAGCCGATGGCTTCAATGACTGGGCCTTCATGACGACGCACTCATGGGATGAGGACCCTTCCGGGGAGTGGGTGCTGGAGATTGAGAACACCAGTGATGCCAACAACTACGGTAGGGGTGGGCTTCCCTGTCCACTGCCTTCCACCATCCTCTGGGATRGGAGCCGTGTGGTCACCCAGCTTTCCCCCCCTGCTCCTGAGCTGAAGGGCTGGTAACACCTTGGTTTTATGTGATCTTGCTGGGGAGAGGCTGGGCTTGGGTACGTGAGATGGTGATGCAGCCCCTCTGGGGCAGCAGAAGTCCAGGCAGCAGTAGACSCCATGTCAGCTCACCTGACCCCCCTGCCCATTGGCACCCTTGTGCAGGGGCAYGGTTCCACATCAAGCACTCTCCCAAGTGGTGGCCACAGCCCTGCTGTCCCCTGGCAGCCAGGATGGGGGACCACTGTGACCCCACTCCTTGTGCCTGTCCCGAGCATGGGGGATCTTGTGGGTGCCTCTGTGGTCCTCACCCTGCGTTGTTGCAGGCACGCTGACCAAGTTCACGCTTGTGCTGTATGGGACAGCCACCGACTCCCCCAGCCTCTCCAACCAGCTGGAGAGCAGTGGCTGCAAGACCCTGACCCCCAGCCAGACCTGCGTGGGTGAGTATGGGGATGGGAGGGAGGGAGGGAATGGGGGCACCGGCAGCCTCCAGCCCATGCTGACCCTGCCTGTCCCACAGTCTGCGAGGAGGGGTACTACCTGCACCAGAAGAGCTGCCTGAAGCGCTGCCCTCCTGGCTTTGCGCCCGGTGTCCAGAACACACACTACAACTTGGAGAACAGCGTGGAGCCCATTACACCCCACCTCTGCCTGCCCTGCCACCCTTCCTGTGCCACCTGCGTGGGACCTGGCCCCAACCAGTGCCTCACCTGTCCTGCACACTCTCACTTCAGCAGCCTCGACCTCTCCTGCTCCCACCAGACACAGAGCAGCCGTGCGTCCCCTGCCCTGGCAGATGGCAGCGAGGGACCACCTGAGGCCCCCTCYCCGGTCAACATGCCTGTCCTCATCGCCAGCCTTGGCTGCATCCTCATCATCATCATCTTCGTCACCGTCTTCCTGGTGCTGCAAGCACGCTCAGGCTTCAGCCTGCGGGGTGTGAAGGTGTATGCCCTGGACAGCGGGATCATCTCCTACAAGGGGCTCCCCTCTGACATCTGGCAGGAGGAGGGCCCCTCAGAGTCYGATGGTGAGGATTATGAGGCCCACAGCGAGAGGACTGCCTTCATCAGAGACCAAAGTGCCCTTTGATGAGCCCTCCTGCCCCTCCCTCCTCCCTGCCCAGCACTGCAGGGCCGGGGCAGGTGAGGCTGAGGGGCCCCAGACTCTGCCCCTGTCCCCTTCCTGCACTGCAGCAGCCTGGGGCTCCCACCCACTGGCACCGTCCCTCAGTCCCAGTCTGGGCGGCCAGGCATGGCCCTGCAGGCACCATCCCCAGCACAGCACCGTCCCACTCTGGCACCATCTCTTCTGGCCCTGTGTCCATCCTGAGCCCCATGCTGGGGTGTTTGGTGGCAGTGGGGCCCCTGGTACTTGCTGGCCCTGCATGGGCAGCAGTGTCTCCCACTCTGGGTGCATGGCTGCTGCTTGGGGTCCTGTGAGTTCTCCGGGGGGCAGTGTGTGAAGTCCCTGGGTTGCCATGGTTTAAGATAGGCTGGCTGGGGTGGGGGTGGCTCTGCCCCCAAGAGCTGAGCRAGCTCAGCCTGTGCCACGGCATCCCCCTGTCCCGCCATGCTCGTCCCCTGTGGAGCTGCATCCCAGGCTGAGTTTGTTGTGTCCCAGCTCCCTGCCATCTCCCCTGGGCCTGTCTGCTTCCACCCATGCCCTTCAACAGCAATAATGGCCAGGCCTCAGCTGCTGCTGCCTACTGCCTGCCCATCCCACCATGGCTGCCTGCAGCAGGCAGGAGCCCCAGCACCGGGGAGCATCGGGCTGAGCACTGCTTGCCCCTGTGCCCATGGCACAGCCCAGAGCCTGGGCAGGGACACCCACACTCGCACAGTCCCTGCTTTGGAGGGCTGCCTCGGGCCCCTTGTGTTCTGCCCCCGGGCAGGGCTGTAGGTGCTGCTGGCTGGGACTGTCAGCGCCGGTGCCAGCACTGCCCCAGCTCTGCCTGCATCCTGCCTGTGCTGGGCAGTGCCCAGCATTCCTGCAGCCCTAGCCCCCCAACGTGCCTTGCCCCCACTTGGTGACAATCCGTTCTGCTCCCCGCTGGAGCCCTTTCCCTCGCTGCCCCTTCCCCACGGGCTGGGGGCCAGTGCCACGCGCCCCTTTGCCGTCCGCTGCCGCACACTGGGGCCATGGTGCAGGCTCCCACCTGCGCCAGCCATGGACGGAGCCACTGGCTGGGGGCCACAGGACTATTTTTCTATAACAACTTTTTGGTGCACAGTAATTTTTTCTTGTAATTTAATCAGCTGGGAGCTGCCTCCTGAGCCTGTTTTTAATTTAATGGATGTGGATATAACGCTAGAGAGACTGAGTTATTAAATGTTCAGAACTATGCAAATCAGCTTCGGTGCCTGTGCTCTGTGTGCCGCAGGTGCCCCAGCCTGGGCAGCGTCCTCACTATGGTGACTGTGGGCCTCAGGGGCACTCAGATCTGCTCTACAGCTGGAGGAGAGGGGCTGCAGCCCTGCCTGCAGATCTTCCCCCAGAGCCAGGGACTGCTCTTCCCTGGCTGTGCTCTTTAGGCCGGTGCTGGGGACTGGCAGTGACCATCCCTCACCTGAGCAAGGGGAAGCAGCTGCTTATGAGGACCTGCAGCAAGGGCAGCTAACTCAGAAACTGGTGGGGAGAAGGAAGTGTGTGTCAAAAGGCTGGGGACYTTGGMCCTCTTTCGCACAGTGTGAAGKTTGAGGGCTGAGCCCCTTCAGCACAGCCTGGGGCCCAGTAACAGCCCCTGTGTGTAGCAGCACCCTGCAGCCATAGCCCCTGGTGCAGGGATGACCTGGCTCGACCTGGGCCCACTCGTGCCGTGGCCAAGCTGCAGACACAGCCCTCCCCCGCCTCACAGAGCCGCCCCCACGGGAGAGAGTGTGGAGGCCGCGCTCCATGGCAGAGCAGGCCCCTGTGCGCAGTCCCTCGGCTTCCTGCGGTCAGCACGGCGTTCCCCGCGGCGCGCAGGGACTGCAGCGCCCTCAGCCTGCCCTTCCTCTTCTCACGAGGCGGGGCTGGCGGCGGGCAGCAATCGGGGCCTCAAGGGAAAGGAGCTGTGCACTTGCGGTCACATGCTGATCTGCCCGGTGCTGGCCGTCCCGGGCTCCTGGAGCAGCCTGGCGCAGGCAGGGAGGGGACCCGTCCTGCCCGGGGGCTGCCGAAGGGATGGCGGTGGTGGGAGAAACAGCACTGTGGCAGCCCCTGGCCATGCCGTGCGCTGGAACTGCTCCAGGGTGTGACCCCCTCACATTGCTCCGCTGTGGGAAGGCGAGTCAGCAAAGCTCCCGTCTGACACRCTTTTTCCCCGACTTCCTCTAAAAGTGGAATCGCCCAGGCCGTGTGCTTCAGATGACCTTGAAACTTCTCTGGGGCCAGGGCCTCTCTGCTAGTCACAGGAGAGGGCTCAGGCCAAAACACCCAGGTGGTGGCCAGGCTGAGCCRATCTGAGCTGACCTGGCCTATGCCAGCAATAAGAACATGTGTAGTGGTACTGAGCAGTGGCAGTGCTGGTGGCAGCTGCCTCTGTGTGATGCAGTTGCCAGGGCTGAGCAGTGCCACTGTTGTGGCAGCAGTGAAGCCCTTTGAGGGGGAGATGGCCAGGGCTGCCACAGGGAGTGTGGTCCTAGCTGCGTGGATGCAGGCTGGCAGCAAAGGCTGCATGGCACTGTGGGTGCCCATGCAGTGGGTGCTCTGTCCTCACACCTTTTACAGTCACAGGGGTCAGGCTTGGGAATGGTGTCAGGGTGGCCACCTTTTAATGGGGCTGCACAGAGTCCTCAGGATCCTCCAGGCCCTGCAGTCTCTTGGAGACACAGGGGCATGGAGCAGGGCTAAGAGTCAGGCAAGACCACCCACGGCTGAGAGGGCTTTGCTGGGTGGCACTGGTGCCAAGTGGAGTGGCCTGGGTACACAGGGCTGGACCTGGTGGTRCCAGGCTGCAGTGGGAGACAGCTGGCAGGGGTGATGGGGCTGGGAGCTGCCCAGCTGCAGCAGAGCCGTGTGCCGGCATCGGCTGCTCATGCAGGGACTGGCAGGGAGGGGAGGAAGCACAGGAAATCTCGCAATGGCTGTATGGTCAGCACTGGGTTTCCTGTTCCTCCCGGGGAGCCAGAGCTGCACCAGGTCCAGACCGCGCCAGTCCCGGCCCCAGAAGGACGCCAGCAGCAGCCTCACAACGAAGACCTCGCAACAGACGTAGGTTAGAGGGACTGCGCACTGGTGGGGTACTGGCAGAGACAGGACTCCTTTGTAGGGCTGGGATGGGTCTTGGTTGGATTAGGGGCTGAGCTAGGAGACATCCTGCCGTGCAGAGGGAGGTGCCCCAACACTCTTCTGCTCCTGRTGCACTCTTGCTTCAGGGCACCCTGGGATCAGTTTAGCTCCCGATCATCTTGCTGGAGTCCTGTGTGCTGAGATGCGTCCAGGTTCAGCACCTTTCTCYAGGGCTCAGCACCCTCTTCTGCTCCTGCTGCCTTCTCACCAGTGTTCTGGCCCCTGGAGCTGCCACACTGTGGGCACAGGGGTGACAGTGCCAATGGGCAAGAGAGGGAGGGGCCAGAATGGAGGGGCCGGTGCCTGGTGTGGGTGGGGGGCACGGGTGCACTGCCCTCAGGGAGCAGCCCTGTGCGCAGCAGGGTGACACTGCTGTGTATGACCCCACACTTCCTCCTTCCCGGCACCATCCCCACAGGCCCCAGCTTGCACAGGGCTTGCAGCACTCATCCTGCTGCTTTGAATATGCTTTGCAAGGCTTTGCAGGGGCTAGGGAGGGTCATTGCTGCACAGACCAGGTAATGGGGCATGAGGCTCTGAAATGGAAAGGGCCCTGGCCACTGGTGCAGGCAGTGCAGGGCAGCAGCCRTGGCTCAGGCTGTGCCGGTGCCCCRCAGACTTCCCCTGGCTGGACAGTGGTGCCATGGGCTTCGGGCCGGAGCTGTGGTGTCCGCAGGGGCACAGTGCACTGCTGCGGCTGCAGGACGGGGAGCTGCGCCTCCTGGAGCTGATGAAGAAATGGATGGCACAGCGGGCCAAGAGCGACCGGGAGTATGCAGGGATGCTGCACCACATGCTCTCCCAGCTGGAAAAGCAGGAGGGCACCGGACAGCTCTGCAGTGGTGGTCAGATCGAGAAGGTAGGGATGCCCCGGAGTAGGACTGYGCCCTGCAGAGCCTGGTGCGGTGCTGGAGGGTCCCAACACCCTTTCTTGCAGTCCTGGTGGGTGCTGGTGAGCCGGACTGAGACGCTGAGCCAGATCCTGCGGCGGCACGCGGAGGAGCTGGCGGCGGGGCCGCTGGCCAAGCTGAGCCTGCTCATCCGCGACAAGCAGCAGCTGCGCAAGGCCTTCAGCGAGCAGTGGCAGCAGCTCAGCCACGAGTACAGCCGGGTATGTTGGAGCCAGCAGGAGAGCAAGAGAATGTTCTACAGCCWCTCCCTGACCATGTCTCTCCCCAGACAACGCAGCAGGAGATGGAGAAGCTGAAGGCACAGTACCGCAGCCTGGCGCGTGACAGTGCCCAAGCCAAGCGCAAGTACCAGGAGGCCAGCAAAGGTGCCAGCCCGGCCCCTGTCCCATGTGTGCCCTCCCAGCTTCCCTCATGGGTCAAGGATGGCAGGAACACCCCACACTCTGCAGAAGCTACAGCCCAGCCTGGAGCCGATGGGGATTCTGGGGGTGGGCAGCATAGAGGAGAACACAGTTGGGCCTCCAAAAAGTCAGGCAAAAGTCTGGGGGCCGTGGGACACCATGCTGTGGATCAGGAGCATCCCGTGTCACAGTGTAACCACCYCAGGCTTAGTCCCCCTGTCTGCCCTGGGATCCTTTCCCAACCCTCACCCCCTGCCCCCTGCCCCAGTGCTGAGAYGGGCGATGTGCTGGCAGTTGGGGTTTTCCACAGGCTCTCTCCACAGACAAAGAGCGGGACAAGGCAAAGGAGAAATACGTGCGCAGTCTCTGGAAGCTCTACGCCCTGCACAACCAGTACGTGCTGGCTGTGCAGGCGGCTGCATTGCACCACCAGCACCACTACCAGCGGGTGTTGCCCAGCCTGCATCAGTCCCTCTACAGTCTGCAGCAGGAGATGGTCCTCATCCTGTAAGASCCCTGCCTCCCCCATTGCCCATCCYGTGCCCCACTGCCCTGCTGCCAGCCCTGCACCCCACTGCAAATCCTTGGGCACTCCCAGGGCCCCCCAGAACCAGCAGTGCTCCCACAGAAAGGAGATCCTCCGGGAGTACTGCAGCATCAGCAGCCTGGTACAGGAGGATATGTTGGCCATGCACCAGGAGATTGCCAGTGCGATCCAGACCATCGACCCTGCCACTGAGTACAGGAGCTTCATCCAGAGCCACCAGTATGGCTCCACACAGCTGCAGCCTCTCTGCTGGGCATGGCCCTGCTGCCCATGGGTGGCACTGGGTGGCATGAGGCAAGTGGAAGCAAAGCTGTGCTGGGTGCCCACAGGTATGACTCGGAGGTGCCACCAACTGTGTCCTTTGATGAGAGCCTGCTGGAGGACACAGAGAACCTGGTGGCAGGGGAGCTGCAGCTGAATGAGCTGACCCTTGAGAGTGTCCAGCACTGGTGAGTGGGACCAGCCATGGGCAGGGGCAGGTGAGGGGCAGGGATTCAGCCCCCAGCTGCCATGTGTCTCTCGCAGCCTGACATCGGTTGAGGAGGAGTTGGTGTCCGCCATGGAGGCCGTGAGTATCAAGGAGCAGAGGATGCGGGAGCTGAAGGCAGAGATCCAGGACGAAGAGCAGGGCCGGAGCCCCGGGGAGCGGTGAGCTGCGGCAGAGGGGGGTGAGGAGCCAGGGCAGCGGGTGCTGACCACTCTGTGCCCTCCCTAGGGTGCATTTGTTGGGCAGGCGGCAGGGGCTGCACGAGGCGCAGCAGCAGCTCGAGGGCTGCCTCTGTACCCAGGCCAAGCTGCAGGCACAGCGGGACCTGCTGGCCGGGAAGCTGGCGGAGCTGGGGGTTAGGGACCCTCTGCCCCCCCTGCCTCTGCCAGAGGATCGGCGATCCACCTCCTCCACAGTAAGTCAGTCCTGCCTCCCGTGCTCTGGAAGCTGCAGGAATGGAATCCTCCCCAGCTGGTGCACAGCCCATGCCTCCTTCTAGGAGCAGGAGCGGAGCGGGGCCAGTGCACTGGAGACCCTCAAGAACCACATCACGGGCATCTTCAGCCCAAAGTACTCGGTGAGTTCCTGGTGTCTCCAGCCGCCCTGCTCTCCACCCAGCTGCCTTGCTGAGCCTGTCCTCTCCTCTCTGGCAACACAGCCCACCCCTCCCCCTGCTCCCACTTCAGCACCTCCAGATTCTTCTGCTTCCACCTGCCCTGAGCACAGCTTCCAGACATGGCTGCCCCACCTCTGGCACAACTCAGTAGTGTGCATGGCTGGCCTTTTCTCCTTCCAGCTGCCACCCCCTGTGCCCCTAATCCCAGATGTGCAGAAGCCACTGTGCCAGCAGGTCTGGTACCACGGGGCCATCCCACGTTCGGAGGTACAGGAGCTGCTGACCTGCAGTGGGGACTTCCTGGTGCGGGAGAGCCAGGGCAAGCAGGAGTATGTGCTCAGTGTGCTGTGGGATGGGCAGCCCCGACACTTCATCATCCAAGCCATCAATGTGAGTGACCACAAGCATGGGGGACAGCTGGAGTGGCCTGGCATCAGCAGGTGGAAGTTCCTGCCCATCATAACCCCTCGACCCCTCTCCCTGCAGGACATGTTTCGGCTGGAGGGTGACAGCTTCCCTACCATTCCACTGCTCATCCAGCACCTCCTGCAGAGCCAGCAGCCCATCACCCGCAAGAGTGGCATCATCCTGGCCAGGGCCGTGCCCAAGGTGACACAGGCTGTGGGGTGGGCGATGGGGCCCCCTGTGCAGGGGCAGCTCTGCCCAGCCCTTTCTCCTGTCTACGGCTGGGCTGAGAGCCACAGAGCTGGACTTAGACCTGGGGCTCTGCCTGAAAGGGGGCTGCAGAGGTATGTGGACCAGGGCACAGCTCACTGGTGTCTGCTTGCTGCAGGACAAATGGGTGCTCAACCATGAGGATGTGCTGCTGGGGGAGCGCATTGGCCGGGTGAGACAGGGTGCTGTGGGGTCTGTGGGAGGGCAGAGCTGTACCAGAGGGTCTGTGGATGGCCAGGACTCTCCCCATGGGGTCTGCAGGGCGGGGGTTGCCTGGGGGGCCACATGGGGATCTGAGCCCGGTGCACCTGTGTCTTGGAAGGGTAACTTTGGGGAGGTGTTCAGCGGCCGCCTGCGTGCTGACAACACCCCCGTTGCTGTGAAATCCTGCCGGGAAACCCTTCCTCCTGAGCTCAAAGCCAAGTTCCTGCAGGAAGCCAGGTCTGTGTGGCCATTGTGCTTCTCCCATCACATCTGTCCATTCTGGGAGCTGTTTGACCCTTCTGGGACTGCAGCACCCTCGTGTTGAGGGCTGTGTCCCCAGGCTGGCGGGGCAGAGTACCCTGGTGATGGCATCAGGTATCTTGTACCCGGGTCAGCCGGGCCCCCATACACAAGTGCCCATCCTTTGTTCCCACAGGATTCTCAAGCAGTATAGGCACCCCAACATCGTGCGGCTCATCGGTGTCTGCACACAGAAACAGCCCATTTACATTGTCATGGAGCTGGTGCAGGGTGAGTGACCCCATTCCCGCAGTCCCCATGCACACGTGGATGAGTTCACCAGGTGTGCCTGGGCACCCACCAGCTCTGCAATCTGGGCACAGGGGGGGACTTCCTGACCTTCCTGCGCAGTGAGGGGCCCCACCTCCGGGTGAAGGAGCTGCTCAAGATGACAGAGAATGCTGCTGCYGGCATGGAGTACTTGGAGAGCAAGCACTGCATCCATAGGTGGGCTCCGGCAGGGCAAGGAGAGCACTGAAACCCTCACCACTCTATCCCATGCCAGGCAGAGCCCCAGGGCCGGTCGGGCACACAGCTGATTTCTTGGGGCTGTCTCAGGGACCTGGCCGCTCGCAACTGCCTRGTGACGGAAAGGAACACCCTGAAGATCAGTGATTTCGGGATGTCACGGGAGGAGGAGGATGGCATCTATGCCTCCACAGGGGGGATGAAGCAAATCCCTGTCAAGTGGACGGCCCCTGAAGCACTCAATTATGGTACAGTATGGAACTGGGCATGGCCTGGTAYGCTGCAGCTCAGCTGGGAGCCAGAAGTCTGGCACTGTCCTGCTCCTATGTGCCTGGTCCTGGGAAGGGAGGCAGCGACCCAGAGCACCTCAGCCCTCAGGAGCATGGGCACAGCTGGGCAGTGGTGTCYCCTGCTGATGGCATCTGTCCTGTCCCATGTCCCCAGGTCGATACAGYTCAGAGAGCGATGTCTGGAGCTTTGGGATCCTGCTGTGGGAAGCCTTTAGCCTGGGTGCTGTCCCCTATACCAACCTCAGCAACCAACAGACACGGGAAGCAGTGGAGCAGGGTAGGGTACACAGCTGGGGCTGTCTCCTGAAGGCCACCATAAGCTGTGGGTCCAGCGCTGCGGAGCTGTGCCCATTGGATGGGCCAGATGGGGTTGTGGGGTGGGAGGGGCCGGGGATCTGGCTACCATGTCCGCATCCCTGTGGCCCAGGTATGCGGCTGGACCCCCCTGAACAGTGCCCTGAGGAGGTGTACCAGCTGATGCAGCGCTGCTGGGAGTATGAACCCCACAAACGGCCCAGCTTCAGCACCATCCACCAGGATCTCATTGCCATCCGCAAGAGGCACCGGTGACAAGGAGTGCGAGTGGCCCTGGATCCGTCCCATGGCAATGCCTGGAGGCACAGCAGAGGCCTGTCTGGGCAGCAGATACTGTGGGGTGGCTGTGGGTGCTTGTGCCCCTTTCCCAGCCCCAGGGCAGGGCTCCTGCATGTCCCAGGGTGGGACATGGCACCTACAGCTCCTGTCCCACTTCATCTCGCATAATAAACACTCGAGCTCTGCAGCTGCGCCTCTAGGAGCTGTGAGGGGATGCGGACGTGCACTGTGCTGGGATGGGGCATTGGGACATGGCATTGGGACAGGACACCCGGRTGGGGCGGTGGGATAGAGCCCCATAATGATGCACCAGCACAGGACACTGACAGGGCACACCGGGACACGGCGCATCGGGATAGGGCACCGAGATGAAGCACCACGATGGGGCACCAGGACGGGGCGCGCATAGGTGAGGAACTGGCCTGCGGAGTACTGAGACACGGCACTGGGACAGGGGACTGGAACGGGACACTGGGACAGGGCACCGGGACAGGGACCTACGACAGCGTATGGGGATGGGACACCGGGATGGGRCACACCGGGACAGGCATCTCGACTCGGCTCTGGGATTCGCGCGGTGCCCGGGCCCGTTCCAGGGGCAGTGCGGGTGTCTCGGCCGGGTCCACGCGCGGTACCGGAGCGAAGTGTCCCGGCACCGAGCACGGTGTACCCCGGCCGGTTCAGCACCGCCTCTTCCGGGGCCGCGCCCGGGCGGGCGGAGCGGTGGGYGCGGTCTGGCCTGGCCCATCCCGGCGGGCCCGGGCGGGCGATGTGAGGAGCCGGGTCGGGCTGCGGAGCCACTCAGGGTAAGAGCGGAGCGGCTGCGGTGTCCCCGTCGGCACCGGCCCAGCCGCCCCCGTCCCTCCCCGTCCCGTTCCCGTTCTCGGCCCGTCTCGGCGGGGCCTCAGCGCAGCGACCCCGGGCGCTGCTCAGCTCTGCGGGGCCGTGCGGCCTGTCCTGTGATGGCCGCGGCCCCCGACCCCGACCCCATCAGCAGCTATGAATATCCGCCACCGGATTAAGCCAAGTAGGGCACGGTGAGGGCTCTGGGAGGAGGAGGCAGGAGGCCGCGGTGAGGGGCTGCGCTATCCGACCTGGGCCTCCCGTATTTCGGCGCAGGTGAGTCCCTGCATCCCTCCGGCATGAAGCGCAAGAAGCAGGTGACAGTGTGTGGAGCTGTCATCTTCTGCGTGGCCGTCTTCGCCCTCTACYTGATGCTGGACCGGGTACAGCATGACCCTGCACGACACCAGAGTGGGGGCAACTTTCCCAGGGTGAGTTCGGAGGGTCTGGGGTGAGTGAGAGGTGTCCAGGGATGGCAAACAGGGACATTCGACCAGGGAAATTCATAGGGAGCTAGCCCGGCCCTCTGGCCTTTAGGCTGCCAGGGCCAAGGCTGGCCCCCCATAGCTATGGGTGACCTTCTGCCCCTTGCTGTGGCCTCTGTGCTCCCAGAGCCAGATCTCAGTGCTACAAAACCGGATTGAACAGCTGGAGCAGCTGCTGGAGGAGAACCATGAAATCATCAGCCACATCAAGGATTCGGTGCTGGAGCTGACAGCCCACGCGGAGGGGCAGCCAGCATTGCCCCATCACCCCCCGAATGCCTCCTGGGTGCTACCCCCTGAGAATCGCCCAAGTTTCCTCTCTGTGTCCCCACAAGACTGCCAGTTTGCTCTGGGGGGCAAAGGACAAAGCCCAGACCTGCAGGTGAGGGATTGATGGCTCTGCTAGCTTGAGTGGTCCATACCTGGGCACCTGTGGAGGCCTGGCTGTACTCTTTCRGGAGTCTCTCAGCCCTGTCTCCTACCCACAGATGCTGGCTGTGTACTCCCTGCTGCCCTTTGACAACCAAGATGGTGGTGTCTGGAAGCAGGGCTTCGACATCACCTATGAGCCCAACGAGTGGGACTCAGAGCCTCTGCAGGTGTTTGTGGTGCCGCACTCCCACAATGACCCAGGTGAGAAGCAGGGGAGCAGTAGGGTTGGCCCAGCCCGTGCTACCACACGGTGCTGGCAGGGAAAGGCTGGGACCCCCGCAGTGACCCCACCTGTGCTGCCAGGTTGGATCAAGACCTTCGACAAGTACTACTATGACCAGACGCAGCACATCCTCAACAGCATGGTGCTGAAGATGCAGGAGGAYCCACGCCGGCGCTTCATCTGGTCCGAGATCTCCTTCTTTGCCAAGTGGTGGGACAACATCAGTGCCCAGAAGCGGGCTGCTGTGCGCCGGTAGGGCTGCCTGCCTGGCCTCACTGTCCACCTGGCTCCCAGGCAGGCTGAGAGCGATGGGGTGTGTGAGGGAAGGGCCCTGGGGACTGGAAAGTTGCCTGGACTGCAGTGCAGTGGCCATGGGCCCTACACTGCTCAGCATGGGGTTCCCTGGAACTGGCAGCGGCCTCCCACTGTCATCAGACATCAGAGCTACTGCTGTGTGGGGTGAGAGGTGGGGGAGACTGATATTGCCCTGAACCACTCCTTGTGCTCATTGGGCTTAGAAACTTGTGTGTGAGGCCCAAAGCACTCATGGAAGGGTGGGAGACCTGGAGAGCAGGATTGTGTGGTGAGATAGGTCCCCCTTGTCTGCCCCCTGCCCTGAGAGCATTCGGAACGGAGGACACAGTGGAGGGCGTTGTCATCTGTGGGAATGGGTTCTGGCTGGCATTGGGCTGTGGAGGGATGGCTCTCTGTGTGGGGACAGCATGATAAGGGGGGAATGGCAGTGGCGGCTGTGGAGGCTGCAGGTAGGCTGTAGGTAGCTCAGGGCACAGAGATTGCCATGGACACATGGCTTGTGCAGGGCTCTGACACATCTTGGGTGTCCCCCTCACAGGCTGGTGGGCAATGGGCAGCTGGAGATGGTGACAGGCGGCTGGGTGATGGCTGACGAGGCTAATTCCCACTACTTTGCCATGATTGACCAGCTGATTGAGGGCCACCAGTGGCTGGAGAAGAATATTGGTGAGAGCGGGGCAGTGCTGGCCTTGACAGGACCCTCCTCACGGGAGGTGGTGCCAGCCCAGCACAGGGCTGACAGATCTCTGTGCCCGCAGGTGTGACACCACGGTCGGGCTGGGCCGTGGACCCCTTTGGGTACAGCTCCACCATGCCCTACCTGCTGAAGCGCTCCAACCTGACAGGCATGCTCATCCAGCGCGTGCACTACTCCATCAAGAAGCACTTTGCTGCCACCCAGAACCTGGAGTTCATGTGGAGACAGACATGGGGTGAGGGGCTGCTGGGAGGGACTGTAGAGTGGGGCAGGTGGCAGCAGAGAATATCTGCCAGCTGCTCTTCTGTGCAGATGAGCTGAGCACTGGGAGGCAATGTCTCTGCCCTGTGGGACAGGACAGCCCCAGGGTGATTTCCCACCTGCCCCCATGCCCAGCAGCACACTGTGGGAGGCTGCTGTGCCCTCTGGGTTCCCATGTCTGCTCTGTTGGACAGCTGTCCTTGGGCTCCCCTGCTGAGGGACAGGCAAGGGAGAACCATTGCAGGTGCTYATCTGCCCTTAATCCCACAGATCCAGATGCCAGCACCGACATCTTCTGCCACATGATGCCCTTCTACAGCTATGATGTGCCCCACACCTGTGGCCCGGACCCCAAGATCTGCTGCCAGTTTGACTTCAAGCGCTTGCCTGGAGGCCGYATCAACTGCCCCTGGAAGGTGCCTCCCCGTGCCATCACCGATGCGAACGTGGCAGAGCGGTGAGTGCCGCARGGGCAGGGACATGCAACTCCCAGCCCTGTGGCCCATCAGGAACCAGCCTCATGCCCCGGCCCTCACACAGAGCCCAGCTGCTGCTGGACCAGTACCGCAAGAAGTCCAAGCTGTACCGCAGCAAGGTGCTGCTGGTGCCCCTGGGAGACGACTTCCGCTATGACAAGCCACAGGAGTGGGATGCCCAGTTCCTCAACTACCAGCGCATCTTYGACTTTCTCAACTCCCGGCCTGAGCTCCATGTGCAGGTACATGTGGAGAGCTCTGTGGAGCTGGGGGCAGCAGGAAACCACTGCAGAGCAGAGTTGGAGGGGGGAACAGTGCTGGAAGGGGCCCCCACTGCAGGAGYCCTGGCTCAGGGCTGCACATGCTGTCTTGCAGGCACAGTTTGGGACACTCTCCGACTACTTTGATGCCCTCTACAAGAAAGTGGGTATCGTGCCGGGGATGAGACCACCCGGGTTCCCCGTTCTGACGGGGGATTTCTTTTCCTATGCGGACCGGGAGGATCACTACTGGACAGGATACTTCACCTCCCGGCCGTTCTACAAGAGCCTGGATCGGGTGCTGGAATCCCACCTCCGGTGAGGGGCAGTGGGCTGGGTCCTGGGGGTTGTGTGGGGGGCATGGGTGAGGGGTGGCTGGGTGATACCTGGGAGCCCCACAGCCCAACACACTGGACTGGCACAGGCAATGCCAGACGCTCACCCAGCCCCAGGACAGTGTGTGCCTTTGCCAGGCACACCTTTGCCCTCACTCCCGAGACCAGCCCCACTAGCCTTGTAGCCCTGGGGCAGAGACCCTCAGTGACCCTGTCCCTGTGCAGGGGGGCAGAGATCCTGTATAGCCTGGCACTCGCCCACGCCCGCCGGACCAATGCCTATAGAAGATACCCACTGTCTGACTATGCCCTGCTGACCAACGCCCGCCGCAACGTCGGCCTCTTCCAGCACCATGATGCCATCGCTGGCACCGCCAAGGAGGCTGTGGCTGTGGACTATGGAGTCCGGTGCGTGTAGGGGCCAGGGTGCCCTCAGGGCCTGTCTCAGGGTGGGGCTGGCGGGCTTAGGGCTGGGAGAATGGCAAGGTGTGGGGATCCTGTGGGGAGGTCCTCCCTCTCATGGGGAGAGGTAGAGGGTGTTGCGGAGATGCTGGGATAGGTGGGGGTGATKGCCACAGGTGGCTCATTCTGCCTCTACCCCAGGCTGCTCCACTCCCTCACCAACCTCAAGCGCGTCATAATCAATGCTGCACACTACCTTGTGCTGGGGGACAAGAACATGTACCACCATGACCCTGCTGCAGCATTCCTTGACATGGTGAGCAGCACCAGCCCCTGGCTCCCTGCACCCTGGCATGCTGTTCCCATGCCCCCAGGAACAGCTCTGTGCTGCAGGGGCCAGAAAAAGGGCCCCACCTGTGCCCATGTCCCTGGGCCCAGCTYGCAGCGGGTTGGGCATACCCCAGCTCTTTACTGCTCCTCTCCAGGATGAGACACGCTCCAGCCAGGACTCTCTTCCAGAGAGGACAGTAGTCAAACTGGACATCTCGCCACGGTAGGGCCTCCTGCCTTGCTCTGGGGACTTATGGGACTATGGGGAGGCAGTAAGGGAGTAMATGTGAAGCTGTGGGTAGGTAGTGGATCTGTAGGTAGTGTGGGGCGGTGAGGCTGGGATACCATCCCTGTGTTACCCCCCACCCCAGGTTCCTGGTGGTGTTCAACCCACTGGAGCAGGAGCGCCTGACCGTGGTGCAGGTGCTGGTGGACTCGCCTCAYGTGCGTGTGCTCTCCGAGGAAGGGCAGCCCCTGCCCTCCCAGCTCAGCACGATCTGGAGCTCTGCCGTTGATGCAGTGCCCGACGTCTACCAGGTATGGGGTGCCCCACACCCACAGTCTGTGTGTGCCATCCTCCCATCCAGCCATCCAGCACACTATCAGGACACACTGGCAGCCCTGCTCTGTCCCTGCTCCACATCCCAAGATCCCACAGCTGCTGAACCCGCAGGTCCCCATGCGTGTCCCTTAGCAGAGGCCCTGCAGTGCCCAGCAGGGTCTTTGCCCTACTGACCCCCAGCCATTCCCGAGACACAGGGGGCTGGCTCAGATCCCCACGCTGCCTGCAGGTGTCTGTTCTGGCCCGTCTGCCCGCGCTGGGGCTGCGCGTGCTGCAGCTGCACAAGTCCTTGGATGGCCACGCCACGCCGAGATCTTCCACRCGCCTGTACCTGTATGGCCGGGAGCTGCCCGTGCAGAAGCCCAAGGCTCTGCCTCTGCACATCTTCCCGGCTGCTGCTGATGACTTCTGCCTGGAGAACCAGCACCTGCAAGCCTGCTTCTCAGGGCGCTCGGGCCTGCTGCAGGTGAGTGCAGAGCTCTGTCAGGGCGTGGGGTGGAGGAGGGAAGGGCTACATCACACTGCTTCATTCACTTACTGCTGTGCTGGCCCACACCTGCAGAGTGTGCGCCAAACTGGGGAGGAGCGGGGGCACAAGGTGAGCAGCGAGTTCGTTGTCTAYGGCACCAGGACTTCCAAGGACAAAAGCGGGGCTTATCTCTTTCTTCCTGATGGCGAGGCCAAGGTACAGTGTTCACCCCTGGAAGCCAGCTGGCTGCCTGCAGGACTGTGCTCAGGCAGCAGCCTCAGCACAGCTATCCTTCCCCCCAGCCCTATGTTCCCAAGGACCCCCCAGTGGTGCGGGTGATGGAGGGACCCCTCTTCTCAGAGGTTGCCAGCTACTACCAGCAYGTCCAGACTGTGGTGCGGCTGTACAATGTGCCAGGTGAGATCTTGGGGCTGTGCCGGGGGGTCGCTGCCTTGGACAGTGTGGGTCAGCCCCTCACTTCCTACCCACAGGAGTGGAGGGCCTGTCCCTGGACTTGTCCTTCCTGGTGGACATCCGTGACCACATCAACAAGGAGCTGGCCCTGCGCCTCAGCACTGACATCGAGAGYGATGACACCTTCTTCACAGACCTCAATGGTTTCCAGGTATGCAGCAACCTGGGGAGGGACAGCAGCTGCACATAGGGGCACACTGCCCTGGCACCGGGCACTGTGGGAGCCACCTCTGGCCACTGATCTCTGTCCCTTGGCAGATCCAGCCCCGCAGGTACCGGCAGAAGCTGCCACTGCAGGCCAACTTCTACCCCATGCCTGCCATGGCCTACATCCAGGACATGCAGAGCCGCCTGACACTGCTCACAGCCCAGGCCCTGGGGGTCTCCAGCCTCCGCAGTGGTGAGCTGAGGGGCTGTTCCTTGGAGACCTGCTGTGGAGCCAGGGCTGTCCTCYCTAGGGGAAGCAGAGGAGGAGGGTGCTGCAGGCTGGGCAGGGTGCCCTGGTCCTGCTGTTTCTGGGGACTCTGTGCTGTGGGGGGTGACTGGTGCCTGGTAAAGCCTGGGGTGCAGGGACTCACTCTCCACAGGCCAACTGGACGTGATCCTGGACCGGCGTCTCATGCAGGATGAYAACCGGGGCCTGGGCCAGGGGCTGAAGGACAACAAGCGTACCTGCAACCGGTTCCGGCTCCTCCTGGAGCGCCGCACCACTGCCAACAAGGTGCCCTGGCTGTGAGGCTGCAGGATGGGAGAGCCCAGCCCTGCCTTGGGATGGAGCAGGGTGGGGGCATCTGCAGAAACAGATGTGATGGGATGCAGTGTCCTYTCTCCTGTCTCATTGCACTTGCACTGGGCAGGGTTGGGTCTGGAGCAGCGGGCATGGGGAGAGTGGGACGTGCAGTGGATTCTGTCCCTACGGGGCCATGTTGCCCTCATAATCACAGTGTTCTTGTCCCATCCCCTTGCTGCCCTCTATGCRTGCGCTGTGCCACCTATTCAGAGCTCCAGCTTCTTTTCCAAACTGGTCTCCATGTTTAAAGCTTTGAGCTTCTCTGGCACCAGGACTGGCAGCCCTGAGGTAATGGCCGGCCTGGCCCAGCTGTCTCTCCCTGTCTTGTGCACTAGCTGCTAGCCGCTAGTCTAGCCAGGCTTGTAGCAGGTCTGTAGCCTGACCATCAGATAGTTCGGGTCCTGTCTGGGTGCTGGGGAGGGGGGTCCTGAGCAGGGGCGGCTCTGTGTGCCCTGTGCTGGCAGGGACAGGGCACTGTGGAGTGGGGGTTCTTTGGGCCTTGCCCAGGCTCAGCCTGGTCCTCTGGCTTCCTGGGCCCATGCTGACTCATGTTCTCCTTGGCAGCTGCAGGATGAGCGCCCCATCAGCTTCCCCTCCCTGCTRAGCCACTTCACCTCCATGCACTTGAATGCCGAGGTGTTGGTCATGCCAGTGGCACAGGAAAAGCTGGCCCTGTCAGCCCTGCGCTCCTTCGTGCCCCTTGCCATCACCCTTCCCTGTGACTTCCACATCCTTAACGTTCGAACGCTCCAGGCAGAGGTGAGCYACAGCCAGGGGATGGTGGGATTCTAGTGGGGGTCTTGCCCCTGCTGTCTCCACTGATGTGCCTCACGCTCCGGCTCCCTGCAGGATGACTCGCTACCATCAGCTGAGGCAGCACTGCTCCTGCACCGCAAAGGCTTTGATTGCAGCCTGGAGGCCAAGAACCTGGGCTTTAACTGCACCACCAGCCAGGGCAAGGTGAGGCTGGGCTGCTCCCACACCCCTACTGGGTCAGAGCTGGGCTGGGACCTTGGCATGGTGGGCATGGCTCRTGTCAGGCTGTCCTGGGCACGATGCTGCCCCAGACATCACATCCTCACTTGGGCCTCCCCTCTTCCACTCCTCTCTCCCCAGCTGGCTCTGGGAGGCCTGTTCCAGGGGCTGGAGTTGAGCTCCCTGCAGCCCACCTCTCTGACGCTGATGTACCCGCTGGGCATGGCCTCCAACAGCACGAACATCCACCTGGACCCCATGGAAATCGCCACATTCCGCATCCGCCTGGGGTAGTGTCGAGCGGGAGAGGAGTGGAGTGGCTGGACAGCACAGGAGCAGCACCAGTACAGCAGTAGAGCGAGGCCAGCAGTACTGCGGCGAGCAAAGGCAGGAGGGGCTGGACCGCCACAGGCTGCTGCTGCCACCTCCTAATTTATTAGTTCCATGTTCTCGGATTTTGGAATGAACTACTGTGGTAGRGCCGGACAGGCTGCCAGACGCGATGCCAGCAGGGAAAGCAGCGTGGCTGGCAGGGAAAGCAGTSTGCTGCTGCTGCTGCTGSTGGGACAGACACTGCTGCCCAGGAGTGTGGCCACCCTGATGGCTCCCCCCGACCAGTGGGGCAGCAAGGGGAGGCCAGGAGCACCAGTGGTGTKGGACAGCTGCCTGAGGAGGTGCTGTGGACTAGGGACTGAGCTCTCCTGGAGCTTGTAGGAAACACAAGGCTTTTTCCAAGGGCCCTGGTCTGTTTGTGGTTTGTGGCTCTCACGTGGGGGAGGAGGAAAGGTGTGCTGTGGGGAGACAGGGCAGCACTCTGAGGTAGGGGGAGGYCTACTTGAAGATCTGGCCAGGGGCCTCAGGCACCTGGGGGAGGCTGGTGGCATGGTCAGGTGCAGCCAGACTYGGGAGCAGGCAATGCCTGGTGCTGGCAGGAGCCAGGGGGGTGAGAGTCAGTTCCCTGTGTCTGGTGAAGCATGGAAGTGCCTCCTCCAAATCAGAGCCTTTAGGCTTGTTTCAGGACGGGCCTGGCAGTCTGGTCTCTGCTGGAGCTGCATTGGCTGAGTAGCAAGCTAATCACACCATGTCACCAGAGCATCCTCCTAGTTGCTGTGGGAACCACAGTGCCACACTTCTGGCCCCTTGGGRCTAATTACTGCCAAAGGGTGCCAGCAGGGAGGGCATTGGGAAGGACTGGCCGATGTGGGGGAGCTGCCTCAGCTCTGGCTTGGTTGAGTTGGACTCGATGAGCTTAGAAGTCTTTTCCAACCTGAATGATTCTGTGATTCCATGATTCCTGCACAATCCCCAGCATCTGCATCCCATGGGCTTGGCCCCTGGCAGCTCAGCACCTTGTAGCGCTTGCCCTGTGGCCTGGCCTGTGCACTGTCCTTGCCATAACTCCAGGATCCCAGGAGGGCCCAGGTGCCCAACTGGGGTCCTGGATCCAGCAGCCGATGACTGGCATCCTGCTGGGGAAGGAGCTTCCCGTCCTACTCCTGGCCCCAGAAGCTCATTAGTGATGCTCCCGCCTCCGCCCTAGTCCCTGTGGACAGAGCAACTGCAGGAGGCTCTAATGGCTCTGAGTGGCTCTTGGTGGAGGCCTTGATGGAGGCGGGAGCAGGAGGGGCTGTGGTTTCTACCTCCTTCTCGAGCCAGAGCTGCCTCTGCTCAGGGCTGGCGGGGAAGATGCTAGATGGGTTCCTGCTCCAGCTGCTCCTCGCCACGGCTCTGTTCCCCAGCATCCCTGGGACAGGTACAGCACTATTCCTGCCCCTCCTGTTCCCTGAACCCATCCCTGATGGGGCGTTGTCCCTTGAGGGCAGCTCCCTGACAGCCCAGAACCGAGGTTGGGGGGTCTGTGCTGGGAGGTGGTGGTGTGCACTGAGAGGTGGTGGTCCATTCTGGGAATGGTGGCCCAGGTGTGATGGTGCTGGGGTTACTTCCACTGCAGCACACCTGTGGGGTGTTAAGTGCTGTTCCTGTGGGGTGATGGGGATTAGGGAGTGGTTCAGCATGGGGGATGGGGGCTAACCTGATGTCCTAGGGGCTTTCCCCTTCGCTCTGCCACCATCACCCTGCTCGTACGTGTTTGCCCYTGCTGAGGGCATGGCAAGCACTGGRGGTCATGGCATACGCAGGGCCATGGTCCCCCAAAGGTGGTGCCGCAGGGGTGCTCTGCTCTCCTGGTGCTGCCTGGTGGGCTAGAGCCTGCTCTGAGGACTGAACTGGGGGCCCTCTGTGCCATGTTAGCCAGGGCTGCTGGGGCTAGTGAGCTCTAGGACAGCCCAGCCCTGCCAGGACTGGGAGGGCTCGGCTCTGCTCTGCAGCATCACGGCAAGGACCATGTTGCTGGAGCTGACAGCCTGTCTTACGGGTACCACACAGTTTCTGTGGTCCCCACAGTGCGAACTTGTTCCCAACCCTCTCCAAGCCCCTGTTCCCCACTGCAGTGTCAGTGCAGAACCTGCACCTCTGCGAGGGCTATGTGGGCCCTGATGGCCACTCCCATCCCGGCTTCTACTGCCCGCGGCTGACTGACCCTCCTGGCCACCGCTACTGTTGCCAGCCTAGCCTGGACGCTCTCAAGTCCTGCTGCTCTCAACGGGCTCTGGAAGCCCTTACTGGAGTGAACCTCTCCAGCTTGGCCAGCCCTGATCTACTCCGGTGAGCAGGACCACAACCGAGTGTGCTGCTGAGGATGGGAGGGGGAGGGTCTTGAGGCTCCTAGCACATCCCCAGGGGCTTCTTGTGTCTGCTGGGGCAGAGGCTGTGGTGTCCTTTGGAGCCCACAGTGAGCCCCGGGTGACCCTCCCCAGTACCACTGTGCCGTGGTGGGGTCATGGCTACCCCCTCCTGAGGTGCTCCACCCTGCAGGAACCCGCTGGCTCTGCCCTTCGTGGGGCTCTATGGGCTTCTTGTCCTCCTGCTTATGGCCATCGACCTCTGCCACTTCTACCGGACCCGACGCTGCCACCTCAGCCGCCTCCTGCCCCGTGCCTGCCGCATGCCCTGTGGACGCCGGCGGGGGAGTGTGGCCGGCACCCGTCCTTCCCGCGGTGTCCACAGACTGACGCGCCCCAGCCAGGGCTGCTGAGGGGCTGCCACGGGCACAGCGGGGAGTGTAGACATTTTAGGGAGGCATTTACACCCGGGGTGCAGCGGGACACGGGGAGGGGGGGGAACACTCGCATCTCGGGGTGTAGTACGGGGGGAGGCACGGGGGAGAACACTCGTACTCCGGGGGGCTGCGGGGCGCGGGTGGATGTACGGGGGGAAACACTCGGAGCCCGAGGTGCGGGGCGCGGGGGGAGCGTGCGGGGGAGGGACACACGGATACACACACGAGGCTGCCCGTGGTCGGTGCTGGCACCGCCTGTCCGCGGGGCGGCGCTGCAGGCTCGGCACCGCCCATCTCTCACGTCACCTGACAGGGGCGGTGGCGTCCGGGTTCCCCAGGCGATCGGCGGTACGTCACGGGTGCGGCGCGATGGAGGAGCCGGTGAGCCGGGACGGGCGGGTCTCTGTTCCGGGGGTCCCTGTAATGGGGGTCTCTGTTCCCGGGGTCCCCTGTCCTCAGTCCGTCCCTGGGCAGCCGCCCGTGCGGAGCCCAGAGCCGTGTCCCAGCCGGTGTCCGTCGGCAGGTGACGGCGGAGCAGCTTCGGGCGCGGGGTAACGCGCTGTTCCAGGCGGGGGATCACGGCGCCGCCCTCGCCGTCTACACGGAGGCGCTGAGCCTGAGCGACGCCGCGTCGGAGCGCGCCGTGCTGCACCGCAACCGGGCCGCGTGTTACCTGAAGCTGGTGAGCGCTGGGCGKGTGCGTCACCGCGGCCCTGCAGGAACCTGCCCGGCCGGCCCGGGTTGTGCTGCTGCCGCCCGCCCTGCCTGTCTGCTCTGGCCAGGTGATCTCTGCGGGGGACTCTGACAGCCCCTGGGCAGGATGCTCTTGATGGCAGCTGTTGTCTCTGCTTGCCTTTTCCTCTGTCCCTGCTCGTTGTCCCACCTGGGTTATGTGGGCCAGGACACTCCCTCTGTGCCTGGGGCTGTTCCCAAGCAGTCGCAGTATCTCTGTTCTCCCGCAGGGCATCTGTGTCTTGGGCAAGGGACAAACACAAGGAACTTTAGGGGCTTGAGTAAACCAGAAGTGCCTGAAAAGCACTGAGGGACATATGGCTCCCTGGACACCCTCTGAGGAATGTATTTTGGGAAAGACAGGGTGTGCCACTGGGCTGGCTTGCTGTCTTCGGTGCTGCTGTTCCCATTCTGTTCCCAGTCCCTAAAGTGAGGTGTGTAGGCTGCATGGGGCCTTTGCAGGCAGTGTTCACTTRTGTCCTTCTCCTCTCTCTCCACAGGAGGATTACACCAAGGCAGAGGCTGATGCAACTAAAGGTACTGCCATGGGGGCTGGGGGGGAGCAGCCTCTGTGCCGCCCATTGGGGCAGTTGGGTGCCGGGGCAGGCCATGGGCTCTGAGACAGAACCCCTTGTGCGCAGCCATTGAGGCCGATGGCCGGGATGTGAAGGCGCTGTTCCGCCGCAGCCAGGCGCTTCAGCAGCTGGGCCGCCTGGACCAGGCTGTCAGTGACCTTCAGCGGTGCGTGAGCCTGGAGCCCAGGAACAAGGCTTTCCATGAGGCCYTGCGTGCCCTGGGCAGCAGCATGCATGAGAAGGTCAGTGGAGGGGCAGCGGGGGACTGCCAGGCCCCCTGTGGCTGTGGGTAGCTGGGGGACGTGGGGAGGACTGAGACCTTCTCTGCTCTGTTTCAGATGAAGACTATGTCCTGCACGGACTCAAAGGTCGAGCAGATGTTCCAGATCTTGCTGGATCTTGATGAAAAGGATGCTGACAAGAAGCAGAAGGTCTGAGCTTAGGGAGCAGGGCTCAGTGTTGTGTCTGGGAGAAAAGGAGGGGAGGATTGGTGCTCCTGGGTCAACCATGACTAAGTGGTGCTGCCTGGGCAGGCTGGGTTTGCCCTCCCCACAGAATGCTCCCTGAGACAGAGGCAGAGCATGGGTGGCTACAGCTGCCAGCAGTTCCTTGTGCAGTGTGTTGCTGTGACCCAGACAGAACTCTCCTTCCCCAGGCTGCTCAGAACCTGATCGTGCTGGCACGAGAAGAGGCTGGAGCAGAAAAAATCTTCCAGAGTGACGGTGTGCGGCTGCTGACGCAGCTGCTGGACACGGCCAAGGCTGACCTGATGCTGGCAGCCCTGCGCACWCTTGTAGGGCTGTGCTCTGGCCACCGGTCTCGGGTAGGTTCCACCACATCCCCTTGCTGTGCCCAGGGAAAGCCATGCTGGGGAAGCTGAAAAGTGTCAGGGAGCTCTCAGCTGTTACCTCCCAGGCCTGAACTTTTGAGAGAGAAGCATCCTGATAAGGGGCTGGGAAATGCCAAGGCTTCCCCAAGGCCTCCAGAAGACAAATGTGCTTGTACCTGCCAATGTGTTTGTAGACTATGGCCATCGTGGCAGAACTGGGGGCCCCCCGTCTCTCAGCAGTGCTGGGTGTGGAGCATGAGCAGGTGTCTCTGGCTGCCTGCAACCTGCTGCACGTGATATTCGATTCCCTGAAGGAGGGGCTGCAGAAAGATTTCCGTGGGAAGGAGGATGCAGTGGTGCTGGGTGAGTGTGAGCCGCTTCAGCCGGCTGTTAAAGGGGGAGAGCCCCAGGTAGGTGCAGAGATGCCATGGGTTCTTTTGCTGCTCCCTGTCACTACTCCGTGCAGCAAAGATGGGTTCTGGTCCAGGGTTAACAGGAGGCAGAAGCCCGTGGTCATGGAAGCATCTTTGCCAGTTGTATCACAGTGGGGGTGAGGCCACGCCCAGGGCACTGATGGCTGGGCACTGTCCTTTTTGGAAGATTCCTCCAGGGACCTAAAATTACTCATCAAGCACCTTCTGGAGCTGCTAGTGCTGGAAGGGGCCTCAGCGCATGGCCGTGACAATGCCCTCAACCTGCTCATCAAAGTGGTGCCCAGGAAATCTCCAAAGGAGAGCAACAACAGCTTAAGCCTCTGGGTGATTGACCAGGGTGAGTGGAATGGCCAGCAACATCCTGCTGGGGCATCGTGCCCCTCTGCCCTGGCTCTGYACATGCCACTGTGCCCCTCACCAGGGTGTCTGACCTTTCCCAGGCCTGAAGAAAATCCTGGAGGTGGGCAGYACAGTGTGTGGCAGCTTGGGCAGCCTGCCCATGACAGAGAACAGCCGGATGAGTGCCTCTGTTCTGCTGAGCAAACTGTATGAGGACCTGAAATGTGATGCYGAAAGGGAAAACTTCCACCATCTGTGTGAGGACTATGTGAGGTGAGTCAGGGGTGGTGGGGATTTTGTCATCTGCAGCCTGGCAGCACCTATCACCCTCAGTGCTAAAGCCAACTGCAGACTCACCAGATCTCCCATCTGCTGGGACGTTCAGCAGGTGGGGCAGGAAGAGGCAGGTGGGATCCACCTGACCTATTCTGGTGGTCTTTCCCTGAAGGAGCTGGTTCGAGGGGCATGAGCTGCCKGGAAAGCTGCGAGCCATTCAGACAGTGTCCTGCCTGCTGCAGGGTCCTTCAGATGCAGGGAACAGGGTGCTAGAGCTGGAGGGGATCATGGACAGTGTGCTGTCCCTCTGTGCCTCTGTTTCTGAGGCCCACCAGCTGGTAGCAGTGGAAGCACTGATCCATGCAGCCGACAAGGCCAAGCGTGCCTCCTTCATCACAGCTAACGGTGTCAGCCTGCTCAAGGAGATCTACAAGCACAGCGAGAAGGACAGCATCCGCATCCGTGCGCTYGTGGTGAGCATGGTGGGATGGGGTGTGGCGGAGCTGAGCCCTGGGGTGGGCTGTGGGTGCAGGACCACCGGTTACAGCGCTGCCCCTCCCTGCTGGGGGTCCAGGAGGCACCTCAGGGTGCCTACACCCATTCCTGCTCCCACACTCTGTTCCTGGCTGCAGGGGCTCTGCAAGCTGGGCTCTGCTGGAGGCACCGACTTCAGCATGAAGCAGTTTGCYGAGGGATCCACCATGAAGCTGGCCAAGCAGTGCCGCAAGTGAGTGGGCCAGGACTGGGGGGTGGGCAAGGTGCCCCACGGCTGGGTTCCCTGCAGCCGGGCTGTCCAGCTGTCCACAGCCAGGCTCAGGGACCACTCCCCCAGGTGGCTCTGCAATGAGGCCATCGATGCGGGCACACGGCGCTGGGCTGTAGAGGGCCTGGCCTACCTCACCTTCGACGCGGATGTTAAGGAGGAGTTTGTGGAGGACAAGGCAGCAATGCAGGCCATGTTCCACCTGGCCAAGGTGTGTACCAAGAGYTGTGGGGTGGGCACCCTGGCATCAGAGAAATATGTTGGAGTGGGTGTGGGGCTCAAGCTGTGGGCTGGAATGTGTGGAAGATGTTGGGTGTGCTGCAGTCCTGGCTGCTCCTCCCTACCACGAGTGTGACGGGTACCTGTTGTCACCACAGTCAGAGGATAGGAGTGTGCTCTACGCTGTTGCCTCCACACTGGTGAACTGCACCAACAGCTATGACCACGAGGAGCCAGACCCGCAGATGCTGGAGCTGGCCAAGTATGCCAAGCAACACATCCCAGAGCAGCACCCCAAGGTGAGCAGGGCACAGCTGTGGTTGAGAGGAGAGTGGGTGGGTGGGACAGAGCCTGGGGTCCCAGGTGTGCTCCTGAGCCAAATGTGACCCWGCCTGTGGGACAGGACAAGCCAGAGTTTGTGAAGCGGCGGGTGCGGAAGCTGCTGACGGCTGGTGTGGTGTCRGCTCTGGCCTGCATGGTGAAGAGCGAGAACCCAGCGCTCACCAACTCCTGTCGGGAGCTGATCTCCAGGTGCGGGCGTGCYGGGGGCAGGAGGGAGCTGGGTTCCCAGGCTGCTGGCATCCTGCTGGTGAGCTTACACGTCTGTGGTGAAGGCCAGCTCCTGGACAGTAGGGGCCATGTCCAGGAGTCTGATGCAGCCTGGGTCCACTGTGACTCTCCAAGTGCTCTAACTAGTCCCACTTGGTCCCTAGAGTGTTCCTGGCGCTGGTGGAGGAGGCAGAGGACCGGGGTGGTGTGGTTGCCCAGGGCGGAGGCAAGGTGAGGACATGGGCTCTGCTGTGCTGCTGCCCTGCACTGCCCCAGGGTTCAGCAGGGGCTGCAGTGGCCCCTCAGTACATGAGGCTGGGGGAAGCTGTGGCTGCTCTG